GGACGAGTGGCCACAAAGTCTTTCAATTTCTGTTTGCTATGAAAGGTCTTTATTTCACCTTCATTCACAAATGAGAGCTTGGCAGGATATAATATTCTGGGCTGGCAATTTTTCTCTCTTAGCACCTGTGCTATGTCTCGCCATTCCCTCCTAGCCTGTAGTGTTTCTGATGAGAAGTCTGCTGTGAGTCTGATTGGAGATCCTCTGAGAGTAATCTGACATTTCTCTCTTGCACATTTTAGGATCTTTTCCTTATGTTTCACTGTGGTAAGTTTAATTACCACGTGTCGTGGTGAGGATCTCTTTTGGTCATGTTTATTGGGGGTTCTATGAGCTTCCTGTACTAGGATATCTCTGTCCTTCTCCAAACCTGGAAAGTTCTCTGCTAGTATCTCACTAAAAAGGCCTTCTAATCCTTTCTCTCTCTCCATGCCTTCAGGAACTCCTAGAACTCGAATGTTGGTTTTTTTAATAGTATCCTGTAGATTCCCAACAATATTTTTTAGATTTCTAATTTCCTCTTCTTTTCTTTGGTTTGACTGTATGTTTTCCTGTGCTCTATCTTCTAAGTCCGATATTCTCTCTTCTGCTTCACCCATTCTGTTTTTAAGGCTTTCTAATGTGTTTGTCATTTGATCTATTGAGCTCTTCATTTCATTTTGATTTCTCTTCACTATAACACTTTCCTGTTCTACTAGTTTCTGAGTTTCATTTTGACTCTTCCTTAAAATTTCATTTTCACAAGAGAGATTTTCAATCTTGTCCATTAAGGATTTCTGTAGTTCAAGGATTTGCTTTTGAAAACTTCTAAATGTTCTTATCATAAAGTTTTTGAAATCCGTATCTTGCATTTCTTCTATCTCATCATCTTCATAATCTTGGCTTGGGGTGTTTTGCTTATTTGGAGGCATCATAGTGTCATCGTTGATCTTGTTCCCTCGATTTCTGTGTTTGTTACTCGGCATAGTTAATTCTTCTTGTGTCACTGTGCGTTTTTTTATTTTTTTATTTTTTTATTTTATACTGTGTCCGTGTTAAGTGGACTGCCTGCTGTTGGAGGAGCCTTGGAGGCTTGAGATGGGTGCGGCCTGAGAGCTCTGCCTGGTTCTTCCTGGTTAAGGGTGTGCAAAGGTGACACCCTCAGGTTATGCGTGGTAAATCTCTCTCTTTTTATTTATTTATTTATTTATTTATTTATTTATTTTATTTATTCAGGGGGTAAGTAACACCGCATGGCACGGCTGTGCAGAATTGATGGTATTTCGCTTCCAGTCTTTGGCTTCTACCCGCAGAGTTCCAGAGCCCCTTTAGGCTTCTCTGGACTCCCACTGGGTTGCCTAGGCTACTGAATTGTAGTGACTCAGTTCCTTAGCTCTCCCCCATTGATATGCAAATCCAGAGAGGGGGCCTGCTCTTTGTCTCTTGGGAATTCTTCAAGCCTTGCAGCCTTGTAACCTTTGCAAGGTTAGGGGGAAGAGAAACCCCAAAGCTTTTTTTTTCCTTCTTTCCGGTAGTGAGTTTGCTGCACTTTCCGGCCCCCCTCTAGATTCTGACCCCCGTTTCTCCACCAATGTCTCGGGTTATTGAGCTCACCTCCCCTTCCAGCGCCGATGTGTGGACTTGGAGCCCTGAGCGTCCCAAGTCTCCCCGCTGTTGTCTGTGTGGCATGCACTCCCCTTCGAGCACTGGCGCACAGACCCCTCTATTGTTTTTCCATTGTCTATTTGACTTATTTTTGTTTTAGTCTTTGTTATTTTCTTGTTTATATTAACTTTAGATTTCTTTTTTTGCTTGCCATTCTAGTTTATTCAGTGTAAAGTTGGATTGTTTATTTGCTATCTATCTTCTTTGTTAATCTAGTCATTTATTTCTATAAACTTCCCTCTTAGTACTGCCTTTGATGCCTATAAGGTTTTATATGTCTTGTTTTCTTTCTCATTTGTGTCAGGATTCTTTAAAAGTCCATTTTGATTTTCTCTTTGATCCATTGTTTTTTCCCCCCACTGGTTCTGGGGGTTTTTATTACTTTTTAAAAAAGAATTATTTATTTATTTGAAAAACAGAACTACAGAGAGACAGAGGCAGGGGGTGGGGAGAGAAAGAGAGAGAGAGAAAGAGAGAGAGAGGTCTTCCATCTGCTAGTTCACTCCCCAAATGGCTGCAGTGGCCAGAGCTGAGCCGATCCAAAGCTTCCTCTGGGTCCCCCATGTAGTTGTAGGGGCCCAAGCACTCGGGTCATCTTCTACTGCTTTCCCAGGCCATAGCAGAGAGCTGGATTGAAGTGGAGCAGCCAGCACTTGAGCTGGTGCCCACATAGGATGCTGGCATGGCAGGTGGCTGCTTTACCTGCTGTGCCACAGTGCTCCCCCCACCCCATTGGTTGTTAAAGAGTATGATGTTGGGCCGGCACCACAGCTCACTTGGCTAATCCTCCGCCTGTGGTGCTGGCACACCGGGTTCTAGTCCCAGTTGGGGTGCCGGATTCTGTCCCAGTTGCTCCTCTTCCAGTCCAACTCTCTGCTGTGGCCCAGAAAGGCAGTGGAGGATGGCCCAAGTGCTTGGGCCCTGCACCCACAAGGGAGACCAGGAGGAAGCACCTGGCTCCTGCTTCGGATCGGCGCAGTGCGCCGGCTGTGGTGGCCATTTCGGGGGTGAACCAACGGCAAAGGAAGACCTTTCTCTCTGTCTCTCTCTCTCTGTCTAACTCTGCCTGTCAAAAATAATAATAATAAAAAAAGAGTATGATGTTTAACATCCATGTCTTTGTGAATTTTCCTGTAATACTTTCCTTTGTACCAGTAGTTCATCCCAAGCCACCAGGACTAAGAATCTTAGTAATTGTAATTCTACAATGTGCTATAGGCTCACTTCCTATTTCCTGCTGTGCATTGGGTCTTTGTTACACTTGACTGTTCATTGATTTGGTTCTAATAACAACAGCAGACTGGCTTTCTTGGATCACTTTTGAAGTGACACCAGTTATCCTAGTTTGGAGCCTTTTCAAAGCAGTCTAGATGCAGGTAGTTTTTAAAAAGGTTTATTTATTTATTTGAGAGGGAGGGAGAGAAGGAAAGAGAGAGAAAGAGAGTGATCTTCCATTTACTGGTTCACTCCCGGAATGGCTGCAATAGTTAGGGCTTGCCCAGAACAAAGCCAGAAGCCAATAACTCCATCCAGGTCTACCACGTGGGCAATAGGCACTCAAGTATTTGAGCCATCATTTGCCACTTCCCAGGCATATTAGCAGAGATCCAGAACAGAAGCAGAGTATGTGGGACTCAAATTGGCACTCCGATATGGGATGCTGGCATCTGCTGTGCTATGATGATGGCCCCATGGCTGCAGCTAGTTTATTTTGGAAGAAGCAGGAGTAAGGAAGTAGTGACAATGAAGAGGGAGAAGAAAACTTGATATAAGGCTGCATAAATTAGGTTTTAGCTGAAGCCAGCAGAAGCTTCATCCTGCTGCAATCTCTATGAAGTATACGAAATGCCTCCCCAAATTGTCTATCTGAAGGAAGGAAACTGAGGCATTTATCTACCAGCTCCTATCTCACATTATATTGGAGTTGCTGCTGGGTAATTTACCTTCTCCAGACATCTGAGCTGGATGATTTCCTACAGCTTTGGAAAAGGCACTGCTGCAGAAAGTCAAGAGATAGAGGCTTTTGCTTTAGGTGAGGCTCTGGTAATGTGAGCCTGCACTGAATGGTCTAGATGTGATGTGGCTCCAGAAGTGTCTACCCTGGCCAGCTTTCATCCTGCTTAGGTTTGGGGGCCTGAGAGTTGTCTTGTATATCAATGAAACACAAGATTTTGTAAGCTACACTTACGTTTTTTCTAGCAATACAATTCTTGCAAAAAAGTCTTTCACTTTTTGTCTTCTTCCCGTTAACACCACACGAGAATATTCATATTCAGAGATCTTTTCCAATGTTTTATTCTATTTCAGTGTTCTATTTCAATGTTCTTTGCTTGGTCTTTCTTGACACCCACTCCCTGCTTGCCTGTCTCCCCCATTTTTGTAGCAGGCAACTTTGATAACAACTGAAAAAACAAATTGAAATTGAATGACAACACCCTTAATAGGCAATGTTAATAGTGTGGAGAAGCAAGTAACTCTACCAAACCTGAAGTCCACATTTCTTAACTCTCAGGCTAGACAGAGAATTCTGTGGGATGAGCTCTCTTACTTTCCCTGTCTACTTGCAAACTGGCTTCAGAGAATGTCCTGAGGCGGAAAAATAGAGAGATACTTTAGCTCACGTCTCATAGATTGTGCTAAACTCAGCAGAGAGCAGGCAACACTAACCAACACTCTGTGACTGCCCAACTAGTTTTTCTGGAACTTTAGACTCAAAAAAGCACGTGATCTATCTTCCAAGTAATAGCAGGAGGCAGTTCTCTCAAAGCATTCCTATAAAGCACTAAAAAGGTCATGAGAATGGGTATTTGGTGCAGCAGTTACGATGTTGCTTGGATGCCCACATCCCATATCATAGTGCCTTTTTCAAGTCCTGGCTCCATTCCTCCTACTTCTAGCTTCCTGCTACTATACACCCTGGGAGGCAGCAGGTGATAGCTCAAGTATCTGGGTCCCTGCCACCCATGTGGGGGACCTGGATTGAGTTCCTAGCTCCTGGCTTGGACTGACTCAGCCCCAACTGATTCGGGCATTTGGAGGGTCAACCAGATGGAATATTATTCTCTTTCTCTATCTTTCAAATATAACAAAAATAATAAATAAAATAATAATCACCTTCTTAACCTGTAATATCTGTGCCTCAACAAGCCAGTACCACATATTTTAGGTTTTCATTGTGGCAGCACCTTCTATCCAGAAACTGATTCCTGTGCTTGTTAGGATCCATTATAAGCAGTTGTTACAAAGGGATTCCAAAACATAGTGGCTTAAATAAGATAGAAGTAAGTGATGCAGGGCTTATGTAACTATCATCATCAGCACATGGCTTCAAAGGATCTTTGCCTTTTCCCAGGCAGAATAAAGAGGAGGAGTACATGACAAGCATCTTCAAGGTGATGTTGCAAAAGGTGTGTACACTCAACTTTCACTCATATCTCATTGACCAAAATTAATTACTTAGCCATATAACCTAACTACAAGGGAGAAAGGGAGAATGGTAGTCTGTAGTTGAGTGAACCCTGTTCCTAAAAGAGCATAATGGTTACTGGGAACAGATAGCGGTCCCTCTGAATTAACTGGAACAATCATACTTTCTGATGGGGAGTTACTGATTTGAGAACCAGAAAGTCAGCTCATAGAGAGCAGCTGAGTCACATTGATAATCAGTCACCAGAAAAGACAAAATCATCCTGCCTCGGAAGTAGCCAGAACACATGCTTTCTAGAGCTGTCTTGGATACTAAATGATTTTCCAGTTTAAATCTCCATGAAATTCCTTACTTTAGGTCCTTTTTTAAAAAGATTTATTTTATTTATTTGAAAGTCAGAGTTACATAGAGAGAGAAGGAGAGACAGAGAGAAAGAGAGGTCCTCCATCCGCTGGTTCACTCCCCCACTGGCCACAATGGCTGGAGTTGTGCCCATGTTAAGCCAGGAGCCAGGAGCTTCTTCTGGGTCTCCCATGTGAGTGCAGGGGCCCAAGGATTTGGGCCATCTTCTACTGTTTTCCCAGGCTACAACAGAGAGCTAGATCGGAAATGGAGCAGCCGGAACCTAAACCAGTGCCCATACGGGATGCTGGCACTGCAGGCGGTGGCTTTACCCATTAGGCCCCTTTAGATCCTTCTGAAGCATGACTATTAGGCTTAGAGTTCTATCTTCCCCTTTTCAACATAGGTTCTTATAATAACCTACCTTAAACTTGAGCTAACCGGGATGTATTGTTCCTTGTAACAAATAGAGCCTCCAACATTAGGTTACTATTCCTGATTATCCAGTAACCAGACAATACTAAGTGCCTTCCATGTGTAAGATATGGTGCTAAAAAATGATAATCCTTGTCCCCTTTGTGTCATTTGCATTTCTCTTATGAAATAAAACATTCAAAAATATGCTTAAGTGATTTAACATTACTGTTGACTTGTTCTACAGAGAAAAGGCAAAAGAAGACTTGAGGGGTTTTACTTACTGGACAATTAATTTCATAAAATTAAAATCAGATATTCTACCGCATTGTGTTAATATTGGGTATCTGGTATAATTTTTTAATATAATTTTATCCTAGTTAATGTTATAAAATTAGAAACTATATATTCCACTTTAGTAATATACATTTCAACACTTTTATTCATCCAGTATAAGAAATGGCTTAGTTTTGATGATACTCGTATAGGAATTCTTCAAAGATTTATATCTGGTTCATTGGCTGGAGCAACTGCCCAGACCTGTATTTATCCCATGGAGGTATGTATTATTATAAACTTTTAACTAAAGTCATGCTTTTAATGAAAACTGAAACTTCTTATAAATGAATTCAGATCAATATTTTGTAAAACTAACAGCTTTATAACTACAGAATTTAAATTTTATGTCATGTCAGTTGGTCTCAACAGCATTATAGATAGACCAAAAAGGTTATTCGATTTGTTGATAGAAATACTTACTCATTAACCAGGCAGATTTATATTATTTACTCTATAAGTTGCAGGCATTTTTTTCTAGGTGCTTTGCAGGATCCTGAGAACAGTCAGAGAAGGATTTTTGTCATGTGGCTTAGAGTGTGGCAGGATGAATAAAGCATGTACAACAGTAATGAAGTAAAATAGGAAATACGAATTCTAGAAGAGATATCAATATAAATTGCTATGGGAATTTAAAGGGGAGAAATTATTTCTAGCTAGGGAGTTTACGAGAATCAGCTCAAGCTGACTTGCCCCAAATGGTAGAGTTAGAAACATACCAGGGGACTCCAATTTAATCCCATCAAGGTGGCATGTACCAATGCCATCTCACTATTCCAAGTGATCAATTTCAGTTCACAATTGATCATAATGAAAGGACTAAGAGTCAAAGGGAGCACATAAACAAGTCTAGTACCTGCTAACACTAACCGATAGAATAAATAAAGGGGAGAGTGATCCAACATGGGAAGTGAGATACTCAGCAGACTCATAGAATGGCAGATGTCCTAAATAGCACTCTGGCCTCAGAACCAGCCCTAAAGGCATTCGGATCTGGCTGAAAAGCCCATGAGAGTATTTCAGGCATGGAAAGCCAAGACACTCTGGCAAAAGATCTCTGTGAGTGAGATCCCAGTGGGAAGAACAGGTCTTCAAAGAAGGAGGTACCTTTCTCTGAAGGGAGGAGAGAACCTCCACTTTGACTATGACCTTGTCTAAACAAGATAAGAGTCGGAGAACTCAAGGGGCTTCCATAGCCTTGGAAACTCATGACTGGTGCATAGGGAGATTACTGATGCCATAGACAGGAGTGTCAATTGGTAAAGTCAACAACAGGAGTCACTGTGCACTTACTCCTCATGTAGGATCTCTGTCCTTAATGTGCTGTGCATTGAGATTTAATGCTATAACGAGTACTCAAACAATATATTTCACTTTGTGTTTCTATGGGGGTGCAAACTGTTGAAATCTTTACTTAATGCATACTAAACTGATCCTCTGTAAAAAAAAAAAAAAAAAGAAAAGAAAAGAAATTATCAACTCCCAACTTGACTCTCACTGGGATTAAACATGACAATAGGTCTGATCTGATTTCATCATCATTTAAAAAAAATCATCTATTATTTTTCACTTTATGTTTCTGTGTGGGAGCAAACTGTTGAAATCCTTACTTAATGTATACTAAGCTGATCTTCTGTATATTAAGATAATCGAAAATGAATCTTGATGTGAATGGAAGGGGAGAGGGAGTGGGAAAGGGGAGGGTTGTGGGTGGGAGGGACGGTATGGGGGGGAAGCCATTGTAATCCATAAATCGTACTTTGGAAATTTATATTCATTAAATAAAAGTTAAAAAAAAAAGAAATGTTTATTTTGATGCAAAAAAAATAGAATATGAAAGCTTGGTTTAGAATTTGGTCAGTCAGAGATTATAAGGAAGGGAATTTTAGGTGGAAATAACAGCTTGAACAAAAGAATGGAGATTTTAAAAAGTAGACATTTCTGTTTGGATTGGACAGTAACAAAAATGAAGTATTAGGGTCAGATCAGAAAGGTTCTTGAATGCACTTTAAGAAATTTAGTTTTTTTTTTTTTTTTGTGGGGGGGACAGGCAGAGTGGACAGTGAGAGAGACAGAGAAAAAGGTCTTCTTTTGCTGTTGGTTCACCCTCCAATGGCCGCCGCAGCCGGCGCACTGTGACCGGCGCACCACGCTGATCCGAAGGCAGGAGCCAGGTGCTTCTCCTGGTCTCCCATGGGGTGCAGGGCCCAAGCACTTGGGCCATCCTCCACTGCCTTCCCAGGCCACAGCAGAGAGCTGGCCTGGAAGGGGGGCAACCAGGACAGAATCTGGCGCCCTGACCGGGACTAGAACCCGGTGTGCTGGCGCCGCAAGGCAGAGGATTAGCTTAGTGAGCCGCGGCGCCGGCCCAAGAAATTTAGTTTTAATTCCTTAAATAATAAGACTTTGGAGGCTGAAATCTTGATAAACTTTTTAGGGTGGGAAAGACTGAAGAAATGGGAAAATAATTGCCATAATGCAGGGAAGTGATAACAATTGCTTGTTAAGACTAAAGGAGATTGACTCCTGTTAAAGCTGTCTTAAGAAATTACAACTTGAAAAACTGAAAGCAGGGAAAATAGCCAAAGGGAGGAGGTGAAGATTTATCTGGGTTATGTGACTGAGTTATCTTTTTTTGTTCAAAAAGATTTTAAAATGTTTTACATTACATTTGAAAAGTTAGAGAGGGAGTGAGGGAATTAGTGAGAAAGAGAGAGAGAGATACGAAGCTCCTGGCTTTGGCCTGGGTGAGCCCTGGTTGTTGCAGCCACTTGGGGAATGAATCAACAGATAGGAGATCTCTGTCTGTCTCTCCCTTTCTCTCTGTAACTCTTTCAAATAAAGAAAGAAAGAAATGTTTAAAAAATCATTATTAAAAACTATATGTTTATGATTGCTTTCTTTTTTATTTATATAATAATTTGGAAACATGAATATTATAGCTGACAGGATTGCTAGATGGGTTGGGTGGACTTGATCAATATATCTTTATTATATTCTTTCACATTTAGGTACTGAAGACCAGGTTGGCAGTAGCTACGACAGGAGAGTATTCAGGGATCACTGATTGTGGCAAGAAGCTTCTGAAACATGGAGGTGTCAGAACATTTTTCAAGGGTTATCTCCCTAACATGCTGGGCATCGTACCATATGCAGGCTTAGATCTTGCTGTTTATGAGGTGAGTTTATTATCATAATATGATATTATATGTTAGATTAGAAGATGTTGTCCAACAAGTTTTATTTTAAAAATATGGTCATAAATTACTTTTTAAATAGTAGCTTCTGACAGAGAATTGAATTGGTTTGTACTTATCATTAGATACATATATATGTATTAGACATCTAGTACTCTAATAATTATTTGCTTTTATTGTGAATTAGTTTTTGATAATAACTACAGACCTAAATTTTGGTAAAATAGTGGTTCTCACCTCTGGATGCATAGCAGAATTACCTACGTGTGTTCCTTAAAAAAAATAAGTTTTGTGGTCTACCTCTTGAGATATTCTGATTTAAATACCTCAAAGTCAGCCCTAGGACTCAGATTTTTAAACTGCCTAGATGACTCTGATGTATGGGTAGGATTCAGAAAACTGAAGTATTATTGCACTGTTGTGAAAGTGAGAGCTGAGGAGAGGAGTAATTGGGGGTTGGGGAGGAGGGGCAGCAGGGAGATAGGACAGACACCATGACAGGGTGGAACTGACCAAGGAGATTCCAGGGCACCCCTGTCCCCTTTTCAGCCCATCATTTCACTTTTATGATCATTTATGTTTCAGGGAAACCATTGTGATAGTTCCCATTTGGTCATAAGAACCAGTGAGAGTACGTGATTAGAAAAACTTAAATCATTCTTAATCCAGGAAGGACAGCTCTCCAAAAGCATAAACCCAGCAGTATTTTTGGCGAGTAGTGCCACCGTCATGCAAAAGTTGGCTAATTGTACTTAGCACTTTAAAAAGTATAATTATATTTCTGTAGGTGTTTATATAATTTTATAGCATGTATTTCTTTTCCTATTCTTAGCTATGTGATCCTATTAAAATAAATTTTTGCTGCTATTTATGTTGGGCTCTCTCTGTTCTTTAATTTCTATGGTTCAGTATCTTCTGCTTTCACACCAGAGTGCTCTGGCACATTTCTCTTTATCATTAGATGACTGTAATAGTGCATGAGTAAGAAGTTCAGTTTTTCAAAAGCACAAATTATGCATTTTAATAATTGTCCCAATACATAATGGTAAAGTTGCTATCCTTTAATAAATGAAGAGTTCTGAAAGCACTTAGTGAAGTTTTAAAGCCACTATTTCTCAATAATTTCTTCTAGCCACTTCTGTTTGAGGAAAGGCAGATTTGGAAAGACTAACCTTTCTTTTATAAAAAGAAAATGTGGTTTTCTTCACCTAGAGTAGATTGTGTAGTCTTCCTATCTACAACATTCTATTTTTTAATATTTATTTATTTATTTGAAAGACAGAGTTACAGAGAGGCAGAGGCAGAGAGAGAGAGAGGTCTTCCATCTGTTGGTTCACTCCCCAAATGGCTGCAACAGCCGGAGCTGAGCCAATCCGAAGCCAGGAGCTTCTTCCAGGTCTCCCACATGGGTGCAGGGGCCCAAGGACTTGGGCCATCTTCTACTGCTTTCCCAGGCCACAGCAGAGAGCTGGATTGGAAGTGGGGCAGCTGGGACTCGAACCAGTGCCCATATGGGATGCCGGCTCCACCACAGCGCCAGCCCCAACATTCTATTAATCTATGTGAAACTCTCCAGGGTTTTGCTCAGGTGTTTGAATATCGTCATAAACAAAAACAAATAAGCAAAGTTAACAAAGCATACAGAGACACACAAACATAGAACTTGAACTGAGGTTGAATAAATACATTTATTTGAAAACATCTGTATACCAATCCCTTAAACAAAGGCAGGAATAGACCTTCTGTACTGAAGAGCTCTCCTATTTAGAATTGTATGGCAGTAAAGAATATTTACTATTGTCTTCTCTGCAAGCTTTTGAAGAATTATTGGCTAGACCACTATGCAGAAAACTCCGTTGATCCTGGGATAATGATTTTGCTGGGCTGCAGTACATTATCTCATACTTGTGGCCAATTAGCCAGCTTCCCTCTGAACCTCATTAGAACTCGCATGCAGGCTGAAGGTGAGTTGTTGTTTTAATGAAGTAATGATAACTAAGTTAAAAAGTAGTTTTTAAGTGAGTATACATTGAAGATTTCAAAAACAAAAACTGTAGAATTGGTGAAGCAAAAGCTCTGATTTAAAGCATGAATCTTGAATTTATTATATTATTAGATAGAGCCTCTTGTAAATTTACATTTTATGTCTTCTCCAAAGTTTTGTGTAGAACTCTCCTGATTTCTTTCAGTTAGTGATGATCTCTTTAAGAAGTTTACAGTTGGCTGGTGCTGTGACTCAATAGGCTAATCCTCTGCCTGTGGCGCCGGCACACTAGGTTCTAGTCCCGGTCGGGGCACCAGATTCTGTCCCAGTTGCTCCTCTTCCAGGCCAGCTCTCTGCTGTGGCCCGAGAGTGCAGTGGAGGATGGCCCAAGTGCTTGGGCCCTGTGCCCGCATGGGAGACCAGGAGAAGCACCTGGCTCCTGGCTTCGGATCAGCGCGGTGCGCTGGTTGCAGTGTGCCAGCCACAGCAGCCATTGAGGGGTGAACCAACGGTAAAGGAAGACCTTTCTCTCTCTCTCTCTCTCTCTCTCTCTCTCTCTCTGTCAAAAAAAAAAAAAGTTTACAGTTAGGAAGTGCTGTGCAGGTCAATAGAGGAGGTTTTGCCTTCTTCATATTGATTAATACTTACCCCATTTGAACATATAATTCCCCCTTAGCTCTTCCGTCATGCTGTATTTTGTATCAGGAATCAGGAACTTAATAAATTTGTGGAATTGAACTCAATAATTTTTTATTCCAATATACTTAGGGAGGATGTCTGTTTTGCTCCCTTCAGAGTGAAATATTAGGAATTTAGATTTTTTAAAAAAGATTTATCTATGCATTTGAAAAGCAGAGTTACAGAGAGGCAGAGAGAGAGAGAGAGAGAGAGAGAGAGAGAGTCTTCCATCTGCTGGTTTACTCCCCAGATGACCGCAATGACTAGAGCTGTGTCGATCTGAAGCCAGGAGCTAGGAGCTTCTTTCGGGTCTCCCATGTGGGTGCAGGAGCCCAAGGACTTGGGCTATCTTCTACTGCATTCCCAGGCCACAACAGAGAGCTGGATAAGAAGTGGAGCAGCTGGGACTCCCATCAGCACCCATATGGGATGTCGACACTGCAGGTGGCAGCTTTACCCGCTACACCACAGCGCCAACCCCAGGAATTTATATTTTAAGAAAATACCTTTGTCCTTTTCAAGAAGCAAAACCTCCTTCATAACCCTACTGTTAACCTTCTTGATAACCTATTAAGGGGTCATATGGTAACGGTTATTCTTTAACATTCTCTGTTTAGTCAGACTTTTTGATTTAATTTTCCTTGTCATCCAGTTGGAAAATCTACCCATCCCATCACCCATCCTTCCTCTGTCCAACTATCCATGCCATACCCCATTCCAGATGCTCCTTTGAGGTCCTTCATGAAAGGTTTTCAAGCATTGTACACTAGAACTTTCTGTCATAATGGAAATATTCTATATCTGTGCTGTCTAGTGCGGATGACACAGTCACACATGGCTATCAGGCACTAGAAATTTTGCTAGTGCAACCTAGGGACTGAATTATTGGTTTTATTGGATTTTAATTAATTAAATTGTCATGATTGTCTAATGCAACCATATTGGACAGCACAGGAGTATCTTATAGATAGGAGAGTGTATACTTTGAAGTAATTTCAGTCTTCATAAATTCTTATTTATCACTGGACTATATTAACATCTAAAGATTAAATATTGAATTACACTGGTTTTCTTAATTTACAGCCCTGGCAGAAAAGGAAACAACACCAATGATTCAACTCATTCGAGAAATATATAAAAAAGAAGGAAAAAAGGGATTTTTTAGGGGCATCACCCCTAACATCATAAAGTTGCTTCCTGCAGTAATCATCGGCTGTGTGGCTTATGAAAAAGTGAAACCATACTTTGGATTAAAATAGAAATGCAAAATACCAAATTGTTGTCATTGACATAATCATCAAATTGTAGGATAATTCCTGAATTATAAAGAGATCTTATCCTAAAAGAAAATGTATTAAATTATTGTTAAAATATTTTCTCTTTACCAATTATAAAATATATAAATTAAATAATGATGTTGGTAAAGTTATTTAATAATTTAAAAAACCTTGATACCCACAGGATTTGATTTACATTTACCACTTGGAAATGTAAATTCCCTTGAATTCTAGCTTGAAATTTCTTTTTGACTGGACTTGAAAATTCCATAGAGTAACATTCTAAAACATTTGGTTAGGTACAGGAGTTTATATTAGCCTTTTTGTATTTAAAAACATTTTTTAAAAGCTGCGTTTTCAAATGTTTTATATACCAAAAGAAAAATCAGTGCATCTAAAATTGATGTCTAATAAATAAGTGGAGTCTCTGTTTCTTTTCATCAAGAAAAATGGAAAGTTTGTTTCATGATTCCTTCTGTGATATTGTGGATGGAACACTGCTAATATATTTCTTATTTCTCCAGACATGTTTATTTGAATTTACAAACACTGCTAATTCATTTCACTTATTGAAATTTTCATCTTTTATACGGAAATTGACATTGATAACAAATCAGCATTAGATAAATTTTATCTTAAGTTAAAAAACAATTGAGAGGAAGAATTTTAAAAATTAAATCCATTATTTCATAATTGTTGAAGCAATTCTTATTTGAACTTAATAGCTGGTTAAGTCAACCCTTTGATATATGAATATCTGCTCATTGTTATAAAAGAATAAATCATATTCTCTTGGAATTAAAGTGGGTCGAGGCAGTGAAAATGGGCTGGTTAGCCACTGATAGATCTCAAATGGAGGTCTGCTTAGCTGAGCTGACTAAAGTTCAGGGTCTGATACTTAGCTTTGATGATGAAAAATTTACACTGATTTCCGCAAAATGATTAGTTTCTTGGTGCTAGATTTAAATGACATATAGCTCACAATGCAAAATTATTAATTTATAGTGAAGCTTAATATTTTCCAGTAACCAGGATAATTTCATACCTTCTCCAGGGCACAAGGGACATGGGAAACCAAGTAAGTAACAAGAAAATTCATGTAGAATTAAAACAAATAGAGGAAAGTTTTTTGAGGGGTGTTTTACTCAGCCTATGGGAAGACCAGGAAACTTGTGTACAGAGAGGAGCTGAGGTCTAAGTAGGGGAATGGAGAAAATTGTGGAGTTTGAGTTATATTTATGCCATAGACTACCAGACCAGAGAAAGGCAAATCTCACGTGAGGCTCACAGTTTTGGAGGTTAATCCTCCAAAGACTGGGTATACCTATTGTTTTGGCATCTGGTGATTGCCTTCTTGCTTGCTTGGCAGGGTTCTGAGGTGGCACTGAGTATTACTTGGCAAGAGAGAGCACCAATGGGGCTGGTGCTGTGTGGTAAGCCTCTGCCTGTGGCACTGGCAACCCAGATGGGTACCAGTTCTTGTCCCAGCTGCTTCTCTTCTGATCCAGCTCTCTGCTATGGCCTGGGAAAGCAGTGGAAGATGGCTCAAGTCTTTGGGCCCCTGCACCCACTTGGGAGACGTGGAAAATTCTCCTGGTTCCTGGCTTCAGACTGGCCCAGCTCTGGCAGTTGTGGCCACTTGGGGGAGTGAATCAGCAGATGGAAGACCTTACTCTCTGTCTTTCCCTCTCTGTCTCTAACTCCATCTCTCAAATAAATAAATCAATCAATAAAATCTTTCAAAAAGAGAGAGCGCACCAAGTACAGATGGAGGAAGAATCAGATGGCAAGTCAGGAAGCAGAGAGAGAGGCAGGGCCCAACTCAGGTTTATAACCAACACTCTCATGAGAACTACCCTCTGAGGGCACACCTCTAATGATCCAAGGACTTCCCACTAGGACCACCTCCAAAACACCATAATGGATTAAGTTTCCATGCTCCTACACCATTAACATATGGCTTTAGTGTTTAAACATCTGCATGAGTTCAGGAGCCAAATCTTTTTCAAAAACCATCACACAATCCAAATTAGTTATGTAATATATAAAGATGGTCTCCCCTGGCAGGCAAGGAAGGAGCTGGGACACACAGGGTACAACTGTACTAGAATTGAAAGTAATTTGCAGTCACAGCTTCATAATGGCTACTCTGTGGGCAAGTTTTTTCAAGAACCACATTTCTGTTTTTTACCTCCTAGAAATTAGAACCAAACAATAGTTATGACCAAAGTAGTGGCACTGTGTCCTCTTCTGTTTCTTCTGATGTTAGACAGTAGTCAGTTCAGACAGAAAGCCTAAAGGGTCTCAAAGACTGGAGGAGATAAATATTATTATTTATCTGAGCTCACTTACCAATAATAACCAAGTGTTGACTCCACATAAAGTGAACCTGTTTCATTGTAATTTCCATTTCTTTGTTAACCAAAAGGTAACAGTTCTAGTAGCTTTTTTTAAACTTACTTTGTCTCATTTAATTCTCTCAGAAGTTCTATAAAATAGGTCACTACTATATTAAGACAGACTCAGGTAAGTAATTTATCCAATATTATACAGTTGGTAATAAATTTAGTTGTATTGACACATAGCAAATACTCTTTCCACAATAATACTAGGAATCTATATCTTATTTAAGGCCTGAGCATCATCTTAGAACAATGCTATGCTTCAATAGAATGAGGTTAGACAGCTTATCATTTTGTGCAGTCCATGCAAGACAAATTTTTGTTTATACTCATCTTGGTTTTGAAGGCTATTGACATTACAAGCATGGGTAATGCTATGAATTGAATTTTGTCTGTCTTCCAACCCCACCAATTCGTATTTTGAAGGCCTAACCCTTAGTCGGTAAATCTCTCTTTGCCATGTGAAGACAGATGGTGGCTATCTTTAAGTCAGGAAGAAAACTCTCACCAGGAACTGAGGGGCTGACATCTTAATTTGAATTTACCAGCATCCAAAACTGTGAAAAATTAAATTTCCGCCTAAGTTAACTGTTTTTGCTGTTTGATATGATAGTCCACACTAGCTAATACAGATCTTTAAAACACCCTTAAACTCCTTGAGCAGTGGAAAATGGTTGAGAATCTAGAACAGGCAAATTCAGGATAGCATAGGGTAGGTCATATGCTTAAGGAATGGTCTTGACTGAAGCAGGGAATTACTTGTGGTTGTGGTTAGTACCAGATTGTATATGATCAAGGGACTAGATGGTAGCAGAAAACAGAACTACACTTCATATGTCAAAGGGTCTAGAGATGGATAAAGTGTTATTGCTATTCCCCCCTCCCAAAATATATTTCCACTTTTTCATAAAAGCTTTTGTTTTTGAATCTTTAGTCATCAGCCTAAATCACCTCACTAAAACTCATTACTTTGTGTCATGACAAAAACAGAACTAGAGAAACCATAATCAACCAACCAAGCAATACCACCACCTGTGAATTCATACTGGAGTTCTGTTTCTCTCATACCCCATATTCAGTCCATCAGGGAAGCCCATCATTTTAACTTCTAAAATATATACAGAATCTGGAGAGTTCTGTTTCTGGTAGTGGCAGAATAACATACTGGCAAACCCTCCAACAAAGAACAATTGTAAACTCTGAACAAAATATGAAAAAGAACTATTTGACAAGACTACAGCATAATCAAAAATAGAAACTTGGAAGGATGTGACCATTAAAAGAAGGGAAGTAAATCAGGTAATAACCACATTTAATTATTCCTGAGGATTCTTCCCAGTTTCTGGCTCACAAATGGAGTAGAACACTCAAATACAGGCAGGACTGAATAAACAGATGTTGGCCTTTGGAGCTAACCCACCAGTTGTAAATTAGGAAAAACCTAATAAAGAGACAGCCAGAGAGTGAGGAGATCCAAAATATGCATGCAGATTACTCTTAAATCCTTGATTGTCTCCTAAACTGCATATGAGAGGGATAATACTTCAAGGAGTGAAGTATAAAATAGCATGTGTCAGGTAAGAATTTCAGCACTTGACTGGTTCTGGGAAGATAATTTGAAGTTTAAATCCTGCCAAGTCAGCAGAACTTAAGTAAATTCCGTGTACTTTGTATTAAAACCCTAGAAGGGGCATGCCTTAGAACTAAGTCCAGTATCAAATGATACTCCTTAGGACAAAGAGCTGAAATAAACCTGCCCTAAAAAAGCCTAGAACTTCATGGAATTGAAGTGATCTGACAGCAACTTTAATATTTGACAACAAAACCCAACATTCTTTAGTGAACAAAACAAAACCCATAGTCTATGATATATTGTCAACAAAGTCCAGTATTATTACAGATAAAGAAAATGGAAAACATCACCTATAATCAAGAGATAAAACCTGTATATAAACAGACTTTTAGATAATCTTAAGTGTTGGAATCAGCAGAAAAAGGCATAAAACAATTACTATAAATAGATTAAAAGATTAAGGAAAAAATGGACAGGATCAAAGGCTGGGAAACTTGGCAGAGGAGTGAAAACTATGAAATAACCAAGTAGAAATTTTAGAATTGAAAAACGTCTGAAAAGAATTTAATCGTATGCAGGTAGGAGTAAAAAAAAAAAAAAAAAAAAAAGAGCAGAAGAAAAAGCAATAAATAGAGCAATAGAAACTATCTAGGGTTGGAGGTTTGGCCTAGTGATTACGGAGAGCCTACGTTTGATTTCTGGCCCCAGCTCCTTATTCCAGCTTCCTATTAATATGGACCCTGTAAGGTAGTGGTAATGGTTCAAGTAGTTGGGTTCCTACCATCCAATTTGGAGACCTGGACTGAATTTCTGGCTTTCAACTTCAGTGCCCTCTCCCCACCACCACACTCCCATTGAAAACCTTTGGGAAGCGAACCAGTGGATGGGAAATCTCTCTATATAAATCTCTCCCTGAATAAAAAAAAGCATATCTAATTTGAAGAACAGAAAAATTTAGGGAAAAGTGAGTTTCAGTGATCTGTGACACAATATTGATAAGTCAAAATAAATTTTATTAGAGCCCAGACATAAAGGAGAGAGGATGATACATAAAAAATATTTGAAGACATAATAGCCAAAAAAGGTCCCTACTTTGGTGAAAGACAAATGTACAGATT